TTTTCCCAGTGTTGAAAACGGGGCAGATGGGATTTAGGGAATGGGGGAGCTGGGATGGGAATGACGGGATGGTTGCACAGGGAAGGATGGAATTATAACCAGAAGGGAAATGGGACAACGCAGGGAACATTCCAGGCAGGAATTCCTTGGGATTCAGGCTGGAATGTCCCCATTTTTGGGGGTTGGTGATTTAAGGGAATGGTGGAACTGTGATAGGAATGATGGGATGACTGCACATGGAATTATAACCAGAAGGGAACATTCCAGGCAGGGTGGGCCTGGAATTCCTCGGGATTCAGGCTGGAATGGCCCCCATTTTTGGGGCTGGTGATGGGAATGATGGAATAGGGAATTCTCTGATACCCAGAAGGGAAATGGTCACACAGGGGACGTTCCAGGGATGGAGCAGCCTGGAGATCCATCAGGGATTGTCTCCAGTGGGATGGACCGGTCTGGAGATCCATCCAGGACTGTCACATCCCAAGGGATGGACCCTCAGGAAATCCATCCAGGACCAGCCTGGAGATCCATCAGGGACTGTCTCCAGTGGGATGGACCCTCAGGAAATCCATCCAGGACTCTCCCAAGGGATGGAATAACCTGGAGATCCATCCAGGACCAACCTGGAGCTCCATCCAGGACTCTCCCAAGGGATGGAATAACCTGGAGATCCATCCAGGACCAACCTGGAGCTCCATCCAGGACTCTCCCAAGGGATGGAATAACCTGGAGATCCATCCAGGACCAACCTGGAGATCCATCCAGGACTGTCTCCCAAGGGATGGACCCACAGGAAATCCACCCAGGACTGTCTCCCGTGGGATGGAATAACCTGGAGCTCCACCCAGGACTGTCTCCCGTGGGATGGACCCATTTTCTCTCCCAAATCCCAGCCCCATCCCCGCCCCGGATCCCGTTCTATCCCTGCAGATGATCCATCCCCACCTCAGGAGGGGTTTTGGGTGTCCCCAGGGTGTCCCCCTGGCCCGGTCTGGGTTACCTGGGTGAAGTTGATGGGCTTGTCTTTGGTGATGCAATCGGCGTATTTACAGGCGAACATCCCGCAGTCGCTGCCGTTCATCTGCTGGGGGATCTCCTGCCAGGGGAAAAACGGGAAAACAAACATTCCAGAGGGGCCATCAACCCCTTTTCCCACCTCCCAGAGCCGCAGGGATTCAAGGGAGCCCCGGGAAGGCTCAGGGTGGAGCTCAGGGAAAGGTTCTTTCCACCCCCCCCTCCTCTCAAGGGGAAGCAAAGGAAAGGTCATGGAATGTCCTCAAAGTTCACAGAATTCCAGGCTGGATTGGCTTGGAAGGGGATTTGGAGCTTGGTCAGGTCCAGCTCTTTCCCAGTTGGAATTCCCTCACCCCTCGTCCCAAGTCCCCTCCCCCAAAGGAAGGGAAAACCCCCCTGGAAAGGTCATTCCAACCCAAACTGTTCCAGGATCCCACGGGAATAACCAGGTGGGAATGCAGGAGAAGCTGCTCCAGCCTGGAATAACTGAGGGGGAAACCACAAATCCATGGATTCAGGGAATGGGTTGGGTTGGGAGGGACCAAAAGCTCATCCCATCCCACCTTCCCACACCTCCCACCATCCCAGGGGGGGATCCAACCCGGCCTTGGGCACTCCCAGGGGTGGGAAATCCTCTGGGAAATCCATCCCACCTTCCCAGGGGTGGAATTCCCTTCCTGACATCCCCTTTTCCTCTTCCAGCTTAACCCCCTTTTCCCCATCCCATCTCATCCCATTTTCCCCCCCCAAAAAAAAAAATTCCCTTCCCCCCCTGACACCTCCAACCCCAAATCCCAGAGGAAAAGCAGCCCTGGAAAAGCGGATGGGAAGGTGGAAGGGGGATGGGAACGGGGCAGGACCCCCTTCCCAAAGCCCACCTGGCTCTTCTTGCTCAGCAGGGCCCACCCATTGGCATCAAACTCCTTCCTCTTCTTGTCCAGGCTCTCCTGCTTCAGGTACTGCCTGGAGGGACGGGAAAACAGGGAGAGGTCACTCCAAGGAAAAGGGAAATTTGGGGAAAAGCGGCTGGAA